AAAAGTCTGTAGCTTAATACTGTGCTTCCTGAGTTTCTGGGTATTCACTTTTAAATATTTGACACCCCAAATGCCTACTGTAGGAACTAATAAAATGGCTATACTTCACACTTGGAATTTTTGTCATCTTAAATACTCAGTTTTAACTTTTTAGTAATTCTCATTGTTTAATATCTTTTTTATTTTCAGGGAATAGAAGAATGCTAACAAGAGAACTGTTTCCCTGAAATTCAGGTGTTCAGGCTGACTGCCATTATGGGTAAGTTACATGTGAGTTGAATCCAATTTAGTATTGTTGCCAGTAAAAGGAACAGTGAAAGTTGTATAACTTTAATTTATTACCATGGAGATGCATGTTGTAGCGATGTTTTCACTTGAAGTGAGATTTAGTTACTTCGTGTATTTCCCAAAATTACAATACCTACTTTTTAGGTGTAGAATAAACTTAAGTAAAAATATTAAGTGCACAGCTGAGGTACCAAATAACATTGATTCTGTCTGGCAATAATGCCGTTAGGCCAAAAACAATTCATTTTTAAGTAAGAACTATAGACAAAATTCCTTAATCATAGAAACAATAGATCAAGTAAATCTTCATAAATCTAATGGATACAAAAATCATGGACTAAATATAGGCATTGGATTTATGGCACATTATAACCTGCCTGCCATCTGATAACCCCAGGTAACCTCTCTACATTTTACCAGCTACATTCTGTCACCTCCCACTATCTTCTCACACCTATTGTCTCGCATTCCCTTTGAACCTTACTGCAATGCATTTGCATTTTCACAGACCTGCATTTTGCATATTGGCTTCTATCGTAGCCAGGAGAGCACACAAACACCAGCAGACTCTCCCTATGCCGGAAGAAGGGTTTGTGCCCAAAAGCTTGCAAGGAAAATTCAGCCCAAAAAATCTTTATCAGTGCACCCCTAATGCTTTCCATACTTCCAACGTATCTGTGCTTCTTTTAAGTTTAACTTTCACTGAATATCTCAAGTTTATAATGCTTATTTTTGGAATAAATGCACTGTTACACCTTTAACCAAAATTAGTTACTGATACTGTCAGATACAACTTGTGCTTTTTTTGGCATGTTTTTCCCTAATCTAATACTTTTAAAAGAGTAGTTCAAGAATATAAGATCTATGGGATTAGTGATTGTGTGCAAATTGAATTTTGTGAGTACAAGGCTTTTATCAAATCATATTAGATATTCGATTCAGACTTCTTGCCCAGATGCTCAGGTTTCATAGATTCATAGGTTGTAGAGTTGGAAGAGACCACAAAGGATCATTGTGTGTGACCCCCTGCCCCTGGCAGAAAAGAGGACCGAGGTCAGATGACCCCAGCCGGGTGACTATCAAACCTTCGCTTGAAGACCTCCAAGTTAGGTGGTAGTACCACCTCTCTTGGAAGCCCATTCCAGATTCTGGCCACCCTTACTGTGAAAAATTTCTTCCTAATGTCTAACCTGAATCTACTCTCCACCAGTTTGCCCCCATTATTCCTAGTTACTCCTAGGGGTGCTCTGGTAAATAGTGCATCTCCAATTTCCTGTTGTCCTCCCTTGATAAACTTATAGGTGGCTACAAGGTCTCCCCTCAGACGTCTCTTGTGAAGGCTGAAGAGATCCAGATCCCTCAACCGCCCCTTGTAGGGTCTTTCATGGAGGCCACTAATCATGTGAGTGGCCCTCCTCTGAACCCTCTCCAGATTCTCCATGTCCCTCTTGAAGTGTGGCACCCAAAACTGGGCACCATACTCCAACTGCAGCCTGACTGATGCCGCATAGAGGGGGAGCATCACCTTCCTCGATCTGTTGGTCATGCATCTGCACAACAAGGTGCAATTGGCCTTTATCGATGGCTTCGTCACACTGCTGACTCATATTCATCTTTTATGAAATGTGGTAATCTAGCATGCTTTGACATTGTCTTCCCACCCATCTATCAGAGGAACAATACAATTTTCTTTCTTAAGCACTAACCTAAAATACATCAAAATGAAGGAAGTGCATTTTCTTAATGGTAGCAAATTTACAAATAAGGTACCACTTAGACACTACAGTTGAAATCAAAGAAAGGATTTGTCAGATAAATATCATAGCCAATATTTGAGTGGGATTTAGAAGGATAACCCCTCTATCATATCCAGAGAGCATTTGTTTGCTTTTTAGTGCTAGGTTTTTCTTGGGTCTAATACTGTGTTACACAGGACAATGATTCCCAAATTAGAACATTTTATTCTTACATTTTCAACAAACTTTTCATCCATCAAGAATCACCTAGGTAAATAATCAGCAGTTTCATTCATTAAATTCAGATATCAAATATATTAGCATATTGTAAATACAGTATAACTGATGCAAGCAGCTGACAAAACAATGAGGATCTTACTCCACTTACATTTGCGAATTTAAAGGATAGGCTGTGCCCCTGATCTTTTTTTGTGTCCTTGGGAATACTCCCCCCTCCCCCTTTTTTTTTTTTTTAGTACTAGGAGCTAGAGCTCCATCTTTTTGTAAAGGTGAGCTGTGTCAGCCCTTCTACACCATGGATGGGGTCCTCTTACTTTTAGCACACATTTCTCACTGTGGCTCTCCAGTTTGTCTGAATGAGGTTAATCTCTCCTGTGGTTCTTCATCTTTTCCAGGGGTCATTGCAGCCTGTAGGCATTTTCAGTACTACAAGCTGGCACGCACTAGTGAATGGAAACATAGCATGTAGAGTCCTTTGTTCAAATGTTTAATCAGAGCATGCAGCAGAGTCCGTGCCTGTCTTCTGCAGTGTCCCTGATTCATTGGCCTGTCTCTGCCCCAGGTAGTTTGCTCTGACCTTGGTGGTCCCACATTCAAGCACGTCTCACTCCCAGCTATAAAAATATTTAATCCTTTTCCTGTTTCCTGTCCCAACATTTCGAATGTGGCTCTGAGTCTCCTTTGAGCCATCTAGCCTTTGTGGTATGTAAAGGCAAGAATTAACACATTACTTAATTTGTTCTGCTGCTGGGGCTTTTGCACTCTCTACTTCCTGCACAAAGTATGGTGGGGAGCTACCTTTTTCTCGACTTCAGCCAACTTCTCAGTGTTTCCATTTTACAGAAAAATGTTAATGATCCACCATTGACCTTCATCTAGGTGGGATATACTACAGATAATTGACACTGCATGCACTGACATGATTCCATTATTCAGCTGTTTCATGGTGCCAACCAGATGTCATAAGATGTGCATAGGTTCCTCAGAATGTCACACACAAAATAATTCATTATCAATTGTTTAGTTTTTCCTTCATATTTACTGTGCTTCAGTATTGTACATAGTAGGCATCTTCAGCTAAAAATGAAAACTGCTTATTGGTTACCAGTCAGCATGTTCCTCTGTGGGTTTTTTAATTTGCTTCAGTTACATTATAATCTGACACATTTTACATTTGAATCCTTGTCTGATGTGGTTATGAAGTAATAAGCAAGCCTATTATATTCTTTAGTAATTGATCAAAAGCTTGGTAATATATCTAGTATACTACCTGTAATTGGGGATTTAATTTTTTTTTAAATTACAGATCATCTATCTGAATAATGAATGCATATCCTCCTTAATTGAAATACTGCTTTGGTAGTCCTAGAGAACTAATATAATTTATATTGGTCTAACCAAGGGAATTCCATTCTTTCTATGCGGTCTTGAAGTTTAGCTGCATATAGGATATCTCCCCAGGGACACTTGAGAAGAGAACAGGCCTTTTCCTTCATGGATTCATTCTATAATCTGAGCAAATCCTGTCCTCCCCTTGGGAGTTACTGACCATATACCACTGTGGCTTTACCTGTTCTTCTTTAAAGCCATTGTATTCATCTGAACTGCAGATCAATGCAGGGGAGGCCCCTTTTGATACAGAGACTGACTGGGCTGGGAACTAAGTTAACAGCATTAAGTGTGTGGTATTAAGGCTAGGAAGCTGAGAAAATGGTCTAAAGAAAACTTTCCATTTAGAATTGGTCTAGTGTAAATGTGTTCTGAAGAAATTGTTTTCTCCTGTTTCCACCCCTGTCTTTGAGACTTGCACATACTGAGGAGTCCAGATACTTGTATTGCTTGGCTGTGAATAGTGGTGGTGTTAAACCGTAGTGACACTAAAAGGAGATGGACCACTATCATAGAGGAGTTGCCCATGATGAGTTAGTAACAAAAATGAGGATGAGGAATTCTTGAAAATAGGTACAGGATTAATTTATTTTATTTTAAATGCCATTTAGATTGTTCCCACTTCTAGGTGTTGGTGGACCCATATAGGGCTAGAAATAATCATCCCAGCACAGCTGATGTACATCATTGGGCAAAACACATGTTGCCTGTTGTCCTGCCAATGAATCTAGGTGATGTGTTCCTAGAGACCACACCAGAGTGTCAGCGGGCACCCAGAGACTCCCAAACCAGTGAACCCAGGCAGGTGGTTTCAGAGCTTCAGGGACACAATCCTGTATGCCTTGGAAATTCCCATTTCCAGAGTGCACAGCATTGGGCCCCTGAAGCCCCAGCTGTGCCTGACCAGGGTGACTAGAGAAGCAAAGACAGCTCCAGGCTAACCAGCTTTCTCCTGCCATAAACCACAATAAAGTGGTACAAATTGATACCACCTGTTGCAGCTACAAAATTTGTGCATTTATGGTGTAACAAGATATGGACCTCTGTTTGCTTAGCAAGGGGGCAGGGGTCAAGCTGCCTCACTGCCCCCCTGCCACTGCTTTCCCTGCTGCAGCAGGTTGGGGACAGGGCAAATTTAAGCCAATCCTTCAATAATTCAGTTTAGTACATGGAAATTTTATAAACTTGTTTTAGTTTTCTATGTATAGAATCTAGAAAATCATAATGAATTTGATCTAATTTAATTATGGGGGGTTGTCTTAAGTTTAGGGTCATATTAGGTATGGGTAAATTCACTAAATTGTTTTATTCTTTACAGCCTCTTTGTAATATCCAGCATAAGGTATAACCTTCCTGAGAGGATTATGACAACGAAATACTGAGCTGCAAAGCTTAGTGAAAGTTATCTAGATTATCACTGTCACTTGCAACTCTTCTTTTTCTTTTGGTAATATAAATTAATAGTATCAAATGCAAATCCTACAAGTGAGCCAACATTTATTTGTATTAGTCATGAAAACTTGCTTCCCATTTCTGCAAAGTTAACATTACAATAAAGTGGTATTTCATGAGGGAACCTTTGTCATGGATCATAAAATTATATATTTGAACTTGGCATCCATTTATGCATAGCATGAATAAATCTATTAATATTTAACTTTGGAATACCTAACAAAGTTATTCAACAGGGCTTAATCATTTTTAATAAATACTATTCATTGTAGAGGACTCCAGTATTTCACTTTTTGAGGTTCATATTGTTGCACGACTTTGGATAGCCCTCAAAAGTGTTGTTCACATTTTATAATGTGGATATCCAAGAATATCAAAGTTTTAATATACAGATTTTTTTTCTCTGTCTCCTTATCAGTATCTGTGACTTGACTGGCTGTTCAAATGGATAAATTCTTAGTCAGATGGACCATAAAGTCATAAAACAATTAGTATCCATTTGTGCAGTTCCCTAGGTTCTCACTGAAGCCCTTTTGTCACTTAGGAACTGTGCAGCTGAACTTGTCATGGAGCTAGGTAATTAGGCCAGGCTCAAGGAAAATCAAATGAAGAGCTCTTTCTTGTGCCACTATTAAATAATTTTGGGGGGGAGGCAAAAATGTGATGTTCACTCTGTTGACACATCTGTGGAGACGAGGCCAAACTGAACAGGAAAAACAATGATGTAGGACGGAGTTGGGATAAGGCATCAGCCTTCCAATTCCCCACCTCCAAGAAAAAAAAAGTCCAAAATGCTAATTGTTCCCTACTTACCAGGGCTGTAAGGGTAACATTTTCATGTTTGATCACCTTCAGCTTTGAGCGATTCCACCCTGTGAGCCAGCCTCATTGCTAAGTATCTCTGCACCCGATCGTTCTCAGACTGACCACCTTTGCCTATGAATCTCTCTGCCCACTCCTTTGCTTTAGAAGACTTCATTTGCGCAGCAGGAAAAGTCAAAAAACAAAACAAAGCAAAACACCCCTGCACGGTGAGCCATCAACGGCAGGTATTTAGGTAGCAAAAGTCTCCCAAGAGTTTAGTGCGTTTGCTTGTTTTACTTTGTGCCTGAGTTCAATTGGTTTTTAGGCAGGGGAAAAATAATACCCAGGGTAGATTCTTAATTTGGTATTTTTCTGTGCTGTGACATAATATGCATCGTTGCAAGTTGGGGGTTTTGTTTTCTTTTCTCTCTCTTTTCTCACTGAATTTTTTTCAAGTTACTTCATATCTGCAGTTGTATCAAGCAGAACAACTTGCTATAAGCTTACAGCAGTTTGTTCAAAACTCTTTTTGTTTGTTGAACTGTTTTTAACTGAAAGATAAATTGCCAAAAAGATACTTATTTTCTTGTTTATGATGATATTGCCCGGGAATGAATAAAATGAAGAATTTGTAACTGCAACATGCTAGCCACAGGGTAACACGATTCGTGAATTGTTATTAGGGTGGTTGTGATATTTATGTGTATTTTAGAATGGATTACTATTCTAGTCGACGTAACCTACAGTGGTCATTTTACACATTTTCTCTGTCTTTGTTTTGTTGGGTTTTTTTAAACAGATGAGCAGCAAGCTTTGAATTCAATCATGCAAGACCTGGCTGTGCTTCATAAGGCCAGTCGTCCTGCGCTGCCCCTACAAGAAACAGGAAAACCAAAATCATCTTCACCTAAGAAACAGGTAATCTTCAGTATTCTTGTTAGCACAGTGGGCAGTGTATAAAGTGTTACAGCTTCTGTAATTCTCCTGTTACAACACCAGTGCCAGTGTTAACTGAATGATTCCAGTCTTCTGTGGATACAGTTGTTTTTTATTATCCGTATTCAGGAAACAAATGGCAAGCCCAAGTGTAGCTTTTCAAGACAGATTTTGAAGGTGCTTACTGCATAATGGGAAAGCATCCTCTTCCCATTCCCATATTGCATTTTAAAGATCATGGTCTGGGAGAAGCAGTAAGCCTCAAGCTTACACTTTGATTTGGCATTGTCCATCAGAGTGTTTTTATATTTATTTATTTTGGATTTTGTTTAAAATTGAGGTTTGCTACCCATTCTTTCCATGTTTCCTTGGAGGGAATTTTCAACATCTTTATCAGTGATTTGGATGGGGGAGTGAAAAGCTCGCTGGCCTAGTCTGTGGACAGCACCAAGGTATGGGGCAGTGTGGTCACTCCATATGATAAGTTGCAGATACAGGTGGACCTGGGCAGGCTCGAGAGTTGGGCAGGCCGGGACCAGATGAAGTTTAACATTCCCAAGTGTAAGGTGCTCCATCGGGGGTCAGACAACCTTCAGCATACATATAGGCTTGGTGGCAACAGCTTGACTTCCACCACAGCCAAAAGGGACCTAGGGGTAATGATAGACCATCGCATGAATGTGAGCTGTTAGTACGAGGTGGTGGTCAGCAGGGCAAACAACACGCTGGCATGCATTGACCAATGCATCTCGTGTAAAACTAAGGAAGAGAGAGTCCCGCTATACTCAGCACTTCTGAGACCACAGATGGAGTACTGCGTCCAGTTCTGGGCACCACACTTCAATAAGGATGTGGAAAACCTTGAGAGGGTCCAGAGAAGAGCCACCCATATGATCAGGGACTTGCAAGGCAAGCCGTATGAGGAGAGGCTGAGGGACCTGGGCCTCTTTAGCCTACAGAAGTGAAGGTTGAGAGGGGACTTGATAGTGGCTTACCACTATATCAGAGGAGTGCATCAGGAGCTCGGTGAACAACTGTTCACTAGGGCACCTCCGGGGAAGACCAGGACCAATGGGTACAAACTCCTGGAAGGCCACTTCAGGCTTAATACCAGGAAAAAACTCCTTCACAGTCAGGGTGTCCAGACTGAAATAAACTCCTTGCAGAGGTGGTGCAGTCACCTACCCTGGAGGTTTTCAAGAGGAGACTAGACAGTTGCCTCACTGGGGTCACTTAATCCCAGTTGTCTTCCTGCCTAGAGTGGCGGGGGGGGGGGGGGGGGGGGTGGA